CCCAGAAACCATTAAATCACACCCAGAAACCACTAAATCACACCCAGAACCACTAAATCACACTCAGATCCACAAAATCACACCCAGAAATCACTAAATCACGCTCAGAAACCACAAAATCACACCCAGAAACCACAAAATCACACCCAGAAACCACAAAATCACACCCAGATCCACAAAAATCACACCCAGAAACCACTAAATCACACCCAGAAACCACTAAATCACAGCCAGAAACCACTAAATCACAGCCAGATGCAGTTTTAGGATTTGAATGGATGTTATAAATATTTAACTAAGTAAAGTGACCTTCAGCCGACCTTTAAGAATCTTATTGATTGATTTGATGCAGTTCTGAAGAAATGATCCAACTCTGCAGGCCTCAGTCAAAGGTTTTACCTGTGTGGTTCTTCTCTCCTCCCAGGTGGGAACTCTCTGACCACCTACACCACCACCCTCCCCCCCCGTGTCAACAGCCTGACGCTGCGAGTGGCCATCACCCTGAAAGACATGGACTCCATCGCGCCCAAGGTCCCGGGCCTGGAGCACCTGGACATCGAGCAGAACCGCTCCAGCGGCAGCCTCTGCAGAAGAATCCCCATGTTGTTCCCTCAGCTGCGGACCCTGAGGATCCGGTGAGTCTGACACGTTACTGGCTCCATTTCTGTGGAGGCTTTGAGAGGATGCACCGAGCCAGCAGCCTGAAACCTCTCAGATCAGAGAAAACTGGAGACCAGGCCAACAAATAAAACATCTGATTTGGTTTCTGGATTTTATCCACTGAGTCCTGAGAAATCCCACAGTTTCTGGGTCTGTGAACGCACCATTAAGTCAGGACTCAAACAAGCAGGTGGTGGTTCTCACTCGAGTTCGCCAGGTTTACACCCTTTTACTGACTTTAAGTGACTGGTGATGAATCTTTAATATTTTTAATACAAAAACAGAAATGTCCACGCCCTTCTTAACTTATTTYAATTAAATCTGAACATTTGTTTAACCTCTAAAGTCCAGTTTTTAAATGAAATGTTGCTGATCTGTGCTCCACAGGTGGAGCAGTCGAACACAGATCCACTGATCCTTCAGCACAGCTTCAGAAGACAAGCTGAGAAAACAACTAATATCTGTACTGACACATGCACTGTGTGTGTTGTTACACACAGTGTTGCTGTGTGTAACAACACAGCAACACTGTGTGTGTTGTTACACACAGTGTTGCTGTGTGTGTAACAACACACAGCAACACTGTGTGTGTTGTTACACACAGTGTTGCTGTGTGTGTAACAACACACACATGCACTGTGTGTGTGTTGTTACACACACAGTGTTGCTGCAGAGAAACTGGTGATATTTGGCTTGTGTGTGATCAGAGATAAATGTTTTCTGCAGGAGTGACACATGCAGTGTTGCTGTGTGTGTAACAACACACACAGCAACACTGTGTGTGTTGTTACACACACAGTGTTGCTGTGTGTAACAACACACACAGCAACACTGTGTGTGTTGTTACACACANACAACACACACAGCAACACTGTGTGTGTTGTTACACACACAGTGTTGCTGTGTGTAACAACACACACAGCAACACTGTGTGTGTTGTTACACACAGTGTTGCTGTGTGGATGTGTGTGTTTTAAGGCAGCAGATGATCTTGAACCCTACAGGAACACCAGAATCCAGAGACCTCTTCTACCTGTAACCTGTAGACTACTTTCTAACTTCCAGTCTCGTCTTCTGCAGGTTTTTCCGGCGGGAACCAGAGAAGGACCTGCTGAGCCTCCACAAGCTGCGCCACCTGGTGCAGCTGGAGCTGCTGGTGGAGCGCTCCTTCATCCTGAGGGATTACCTGAACGGACACCCCTGGCCCAGCCCCTGTGTGCAGGAGCTGATCAACGAGCTGCGAGAGCTGTCCGAGAACCGCATCACGGTCATCACCGCCATGAGGCAGAGGAACCTGCTGCGAGAGTGTGACTGTCTGTGGGAGGGTGACTGAGCGGGCCGGACCGGACCGGGCGGAGGACGAGTCTTTGACGAGTGAAGACCCGACACAGGACACGAGTCCTGGGCTGACTGCTGCTGTGGGTAGTGTCACTTCTGAGGAGTAGTTGAACTTTTAGCGTTCAGAGTGGAGTCATTCTGGATCTGAACACATGATTCAGATCTTCTTCAAACAGAAAACAAGATGCTAAATCCACCAAACGTTCAGATGTTTGGACTTGAGAGGAAGAGATGAGGCGAGCACTGACATCTCTTCACCTGGAGGAAAAGAACTGGACTGTGTTCAGACCCAGACATCAGAACTGAACTCAGCTGAATGAATTGATTAGATGTAAAAACTTTAGGTTTCCCTTCATGGGCTGTTAGAATCTGTCGTCCCGATCCAAAGAGGTTCCTGTTTGAAGGAAGACCAGGATCAGGTCCAGAGGACTCCACGTTCTTTCAGTGAGAACCCAGAGCTGCAGCTCCTGGACTCCAGCTGCATCGACTCTGTTTTTCTACATCAGCTGGACTTCATGGAGCTGAACAGGAAAGTTTGGTTTGATCATGTGATACTGTAGGAATATGAATTTATGTGCAGGAACACTGACATGACTCGACTCTTTATTGAATAATGGATTTAAACCTGATCTGGTTCTTGTTGCAGTGTTTTAGTTCCAGGTCACAGTCGACCTGTAATTAGCACTTTGTTTTTCTTTCATTAACAATCAGTTGTCCTCCTTTCAGTGAAACTGACTCCTTTAAAGGAACTCTGGTGGGAAGATGTGAATTAACTTCTTCTTTGAAGTTCTTTGATCATGAAATATTGTGAAAGTAGTTTTTTTTGTTTTAGATTAACTGAAACCTGAGTTCAGTCCATTTATAATTTCATGTTTAGTAGAAGCAGTTTGGAGATGAGTCCAAACCTTTCTATGACCTTTGACATGTTTCCATCAACATATTTTATTAAAGCCTGTATCACCAAGCTGCACGTGTTGTACGAGTCAAACATCAGGACACATGTTCACCTGGAAACCAAAGCCTGGTCCCCCACAGGTTGGGGTTGTGCAATATTGGCAAAAWAAAATAATCACGGTTAATTGTGGTATTTAGCCAATAACGATTAATATGACTGTTGGGGGTTAGGTTAGGTTCTCTTGGGCTGCCACCTTATCATGGTGGAGAGGTTTGAGTGTCCCAATGATCCTAGGAACTATGTTGTCGGGGGCTTCATGCCCCCAGTAGGGTCACCCAAGGCAAACCTGTCCTAGGTGAGGYATCAGACAAAGTGCAGCCCAAAGAGGAGATGTAGGACCCCCTCCCATGGGCTCACCACCTGTGGGAGAGGCCATAAGGGTCAGGAGCAATGTTTGATGGGCAGTGGTCGAAGGTGAGGACCTTGGAGGTCTGATCCTCGGCTGCTGAAGCTGGCTCTAGGGACGTGGAATGTCACCTCTCTGGTGGGGAAGGAGCCTGAGCTGGTGTGTGAGGTTGACAGGTTCTGACTAGATATAGTTGGACTCACCTCGACGCACCGCTCTGGTTCTGGAACCAGTCTCCTCCAGAGGGGTTGGACACTCTTCCACTCTGGAGTTGCCCATGCTGAGAGGCACTGAGCAGGAGTGGGCATACTTATTGCCCCCCATCTTGGTGCCTGTACGTTGGGGTTCACCCTGGTGAACGAGAGGGTAGCCTCCCTCTGCCTACGAGTGGGAGGATGAGTCCTGACTGCTGTTTGTGCCTATGAGCCTAACAGGTCAGATTACCCACCTTTTCTGGAGTCCTTGGAGGGGGTGCTGGAGAGCGCTCCTAACAGGGACTCCCTRMTTCTGCTGGGGGACTTCAACGCTCATGTGGGTAATGACAGTGAGACCTGGAGAGGCGTGGTTGGGAGGACCCCCCCGATCTGAACCTGAGCGGTGTTTTTTATTGGACTTCTGTGCTCGTCATGGATTGTCCATAACMAACACCATGTTCAAACATAAGTGTGTTCATATGTGCTCTTGGCACCAGGACACRCTAGGCCAAAGCTCGATGATCGACTTTGTTGTTTCATCTGATCTGCAGCCATGTGTTGGACACTCAGGTGAAGAGGGGGGTGGAGCTGTCAACTGACCACTACCTGGTGGTGAGTTGGCTCCAGTGGCGGGGGAGGATGCCTGTCAGACCTGGCAGACCCAAACATACAGTATAGTGAGGGTCTGCTGGGAACGTCTGTCAGAATCTCCCTTCAGACGGAGCTTCAACTCACACCTCCGGGAGAACTATGAACAGGTTCCGGGGGAGGTGGGGGACATTGAGTCTCAGTGGGCCACGTTCCYTYCCTCCATTGTCGAGGTGGCTTACCTGAGCTGTGGCTGAAAGGTTGTCGTGCGTGTCATGGTGGCAACCCTCGAACCCYCTGGTGGACACCGGTGGTGAGGGATGCTGTCAGGCTGAAGAAGGAATCCTGTCGGGTCTTTTTGGCTCGTGGGACTCTGGAAGCAGCCGATAGGTATCAGCAGTCCAAGTGGATTGRAGCTTGGGTGGTTGCTGAGGAAAAAACTTGAGAGTGGGAGGAGTTCAGAGAGGCCATGGAAAAAGATTTCCGTACGGCTTCGAGGTGATTCTGGTCCACCATCCGGCGTCTCGGGGGGGAAAGCGGTTCACCACCAACACTGTTTATGGTGGGGATGGTGCACTGCTGACCTCAACTCTGGACGTTGTAYGTCGGTGGACAGAATACTTCGAAGACCTCCTCAATCCCACCGACACGTCTTCCCARGAGGAAGCAGAACCTGAGGACCCTGGGTCGGACTCTCCAATCTCTGGTTCTGAGGTCACTGAGGTGGTTAAAAAGCTCCTCGGTGGCAGGGCGCGGGGGGTGGATGAGATTCACCCGGAGTTCCTTAAGGCTCTGGATGTTGTGGGGTTGCATTGGTTGACCCGACTCTACAACATTGCGTGGACATCAGGGGCAGTTCCTCTGGATTGGCAGACCGGGGTCATATTTGAAGCGTAGAGAAGCAGCAACAGACTGACGGGAAATGTCCAGTCAGTCCACCTGCTGACATTAATCGCATTAATCATCAAGTACCAAAAAAAAAAAGATCAATTAATGGTTTTCTGACAATTAATTGCACATGATACGATTATGCCCAACCCTACCACAGGTACAGATGTTTATTCCAGGGGGTTGGGTTTAGGACCAAGGTTAGTTTTAGACTCAGGTCCTGGTTTTAGTCAGACCAGTGGTGGTTTCAGTTGGTACAAACTCCTGGACTCTCACAGCTTCTTACTTTAGTTTTATTTGAACATCTGGTTCATTTACAGGTTTCACTGAAATACAAAGAAAAAATAAAGTTCTTCAAGTTTGTCTCCTGTAGGGAATAATTTACAAGTCCTGTGGTTCCAGACCAGAACGTCTGTCTGAAACATGATCCTGATGTCGCCTCTTCAGAGGTTCTGCTCAGTCCTGCAGGATAAAAACCTTCCTGTGCAGAGACATTCACTTCCATTAACAAGTGGTCCTTGTAGGGGGGTCACAGAGTCCTCAGAGTCCAGGACCAGGTCAGAACTCCAGCAGCAGGGACAGAGGCTCCTCAGAGACCAGGACCATCTCTTGTTTCTGTCCGTAGACTCCGTACTGGACCCTCTGACCCGTCTGAAGGCTCTTGGTGGACCCGGCCTGGAGCTCCTTGCAGGCGGACACCAGGGTGGAGAAGAGCCGGGCCCCCTGCCACACCTCACAGCCACCTTTGAACTGGACCCTCCTGTTGGGCAGCGGCTGGCCCAGCAGGGAGTCCTGCGGGACCAGGAGCACGCTGCCCGGGAGGTCCAGGACCGACAKCATGTGCCGCTCTCTCCTGAACAACTTGGTGCTCATCAGCTTCTTGGCTGCAGGAGACATGGAGAAGACTTTAATCCAGCAGCTCTGCAACCTGCGGCTCGGGGGCCACATGTGGTCGTTTGTAGCTCCGCCCACAACTGACGTGAAAACATTTGATATTTACAACTGAAAACCTGTTTATAACATAAGAACTATAATCTGTAATAAAACATTTGTAACAGTTTATCTGAAACTTTGGACATTTCAACAAAAACAATAAAATCTGTAGAGAAACTCACCGACTTCATACATGAGCTGCTCAGTGGCTCCATGGAAGAAACACACATACACCACCATGCCCTGCTGGATCTGACACACACACACACACACACACAGACACACAAAAATAAACAGCTAAAGTTCCACATGTTCATAGCTGAAATGATTAAAAACAGCTGAAGTTAGAAGAAGCCAACACGAACCTCGGCCCACTCGGGGTCGGCACCATCTACAGCCGGCTTGACTTMGACCTTGGCATGGCTGCACTGCTGGACCACGGTCCGGGCCTGGAGCTTCCTGGACTTGTGGAACACAGCTGGGCTGCTTGGACAAACATGACGACACCTGCTAGAACCTTACACAACACACAGGAGTGAAAATGTAGTCTTCAGAGTTCTACCCATCCTGTTGGAGGTCCGGATGTGCTGGCTGCCCCAGCGCAGAGTCGGCGATGGTGAAGACGGGCCAGGGTTTGGTGCTGGGGGCCACCACTGGGTCCAGACCGGAGCTGCCCGCCTCTCCAGGTTCTGCCCTGGATGTTCTCCTTTGCTTTGCAGGAGGCCTGTCGCTGTGCTGGGTCGGAGGTTCTGAGGGTTTCTTGGTCTTTCGTTTCCCATCGCTCTGAGGCTGATGCTGCGACGGTGGGGGGCGTGGCTCTGTGAGGGGCGTGGCTGCGTCCTGTGATTGGATGAAGCTCCCGGTTCCTCTCTGCTCCTCGGGTTGGGTCGTCTGCGGGCCTCCCTCAGTCTGGTTCCCGGGCTGACCCTGTGGAGGGGTTTCAGGTGGGGCAGGTGTCCCCGCATTGACGGGCCAGAACTGGGCCACCACGGGTTGGCTGGGGACCCGGGGCTGCAGGAGCACCGAGGTGTTGGGCTGAAGGCTGTTAGGAGTTCTCAGGTGGATCAGGATGGGGATTCTGGGCTGAGGATCAGATGGGGGAGGGGCTTGTTGGGACTGAGAGAAGATCACAGGTTTTATTTCTATTTTTTATTTCTTTTTTATTAGAATTTGTTATTTTAATCTTTTATTTAATTTGATTTGAACAAAGATCTAACTTCAACAAGGAGCTGTCCATCATCTTACCATTTCTTCTACTGACTCAATCACCTGCTGCTCCTCCGTCTCACCACCTCCCCCCCACCCTTCATCTTCATCATCACCATCATCTTCATCATCATCTTCATCTTCATCATCATCATCATCACATGCGTCCTCGCTGTCCTCATCCCGTCCACTGCTGTAAGAGACATGAGAGGACACATCAGGATCCATCCAGATGTTTCTGCTTCATCCCCTCAGTAACATCTGTTAAACTACCAGGTCCASCTGACCCAGACCAATGAAGACCAGGACCAGCTGCCTGGTCTGGCCTCAGACTCTAGGTTTAGCAGAGATCAAAGGTCCCTCAGCTTCCTGTCAGAATACAGTCTGATGATGTGATGAGATGTTTGAGGAGCTCAGCTGTTTGGGACTAGCCATTAGCTCCTCAGTTCTGTCAGAGTGAAACTGGTCTTAAAGACCTGAAGAACAGACCTGTCTGATTCTGGACCTGGAGACCTGAGCGTCTGGAGCAGCACCTGGGACCGCTCTGCTTTCTTCACCACCTTCAGGCTGCACTGGGAGCAGTTGTTGATCCACTCCATCACGTCAAACTTCATGGTCTTCCAGAAGTACCTGTCACAGACCAGAACCGGGTCAGGCTGGCGCCAACGGCAGAACCGGAGGAGGAGCGGCGAGGACGAACCTCTCGTTGAGCAGACGGAGACACTTGTTGACGTTCAGGTGGTTGAGCTCGTCGTGAAAATCCACCAGGGCCGCCTCCACCTGCTGCCGGTTCCTCAGGACCAGCTGGACCCGGTCCCCGTTCATGAAGTGGAGCCGGTCATCTGGAGGATCAGGAAACTGATTCAGACTTTAAGACCTCTTTAAGACCACTTGTAATGAAATGTAAGACCCACAAGAACACATAAAAACATACGAAACTATTTTACCCAAATCCTCATCTTCAAACTAAACAACAAGCTGGGAGAGGCACGCCGTCACTTCTTTAAATAAACAAATAAATAAATAAATAAATAAATAAATAAATAAAGAGGTGTAAACATTTTAAACCCTCACACTGATTTAAGACATTTTAAGACTAACTAGAGAAATTTCCTGTGAAAATGCTGGTGTGAATGTTTCCTGCTGAAATTCAGCTGAAAATTTTTAATATGAAAAGTGTCAATGTGAGCTCACTGTGAAAAGATGAAAGAAGTAAAAGACTAACTTTGCAGAAAAACAGTAAAAAGGAGCAGAAATCTAGTTGAAAACAGAAAACAGCTGAAAGCTAAGAGCTAAAATAGCTGAAAACATCAGTGAGAAGCATGAATAGCACCAGGTAGCAGAAAAAACCCAAAAAGTAGAAAAAAAACAAATAACAGAAATAAGCAGATAAGCTAAAGTAGCACAAAATAGCTAAAATTAGCAGAAAATAAGCTAAAGGTAATTTTAACTGATAACAGCTGAACTTTAGCTGAAACTGCAGCAAATAGCTGAATATAGCAGAACACATCTGTAAGAAGCATAAATAGCAAAATGTAGAAAAAAAGCAGAAGAATAGCAGAAATAAAAAAAWTATAGCTAAAATAGCCAAAAAAGGCTAAAATTAGCATAAATAAGGTAATTGTAGCAGTCACAATGTGAAATTATAACTCWGACAGAGAAAGTGTTGTAAAATATTGTAAAATGAGCAGAAAATGCATATAAAGTACAAAAAAATGAGAATTTGTAGTAAAATGGCTAAAACAGCTGAAATTTTAAAAAGTAGCTGGAATTTTTTTAATTAGCATAAAGAAGAATAAGGAACATAGGTTTTCTGAATTTAGCTGAAAAAAGTTGTAATAGCAACAAAAAATGTGTAGCTTACAAAAGCTAACTTTAACTAKTAGCAGCTAAAAATTAGCTAAAATTTTAGCAAATAGCTGAATATATCAGAAAGCATCTGTAAGAGGCATAAATAGCACAAAGTAGCAGGAAAAAGCACAAAAAAGTAGAAAAAGKAGAATAGCAGAAAGAAGCATAATTTTAGCTGAAACAGCAGGAAAAAGGCTAAAATTAGCACAAGAACGTGAAAAAGAGCAGAACCAGAGGTGCTGTAAAGATTTATAAATATTTTAAAGGATTTTAAGAATGTTGAAAACTGCTCCATTCATTCTCAATGGCAAAAAAGTGGCTAAAAAAGTGAAATAGCTGAAAAAGGTATAAAAAGCTGAAATATCAAAAGTCATAGCAGCCCCCACATGAATGAGCCGAACGTTTTGATATATGAATTGTTGAAATAGCACAAAAATTGTGGAATGAGTTAGATGCCACCACATCAGGAAACCTCGCCCAGATTAGGGAACCCGGGGCACCTCCCTGAAGCCAGGCCTGTCAGGAGGAGCTCACTGGTAGACAAAGTCCAAAAGGACTACAGGAGGCCACCTCCACGTGGACCCACCACCTGCGGGGAGGGCCATCAAGGTCGGGTGCGATGTATGCCAGGCAGCAGGCAAAGGAGGGTCCATGGTCGTGCTGATTCCTGGTGCRAAAGACTGACTCTCTGACCGTGGAACGTGACCTCACTCGAGGGTAAGGAGCCAGAGCTTGTGGGTAAGGTTGAACCTTCTCAGCTAGACATAGTTAGGCTCACCTCCACTCACAGCTTGGGCTCTGGAACCCAACTCCTGGAGAAGGGCTGGACTCTCTACTCTGGAGTTGCCCATGGAGAAAGGCGACGGGCGGGTGTAGGGATACTCACAAGCCCCCGGCTGTGTACCTCGGTGTTGGTGTACTCTCCGGTGGACGAGAGGGTTGCCTCTTTGCAGCTTCGTGCTGCAGGAGGGGAGGTTCTGACTGATGTTTGTGCTTATGTACCACACATCAGTTCTGATTACCCGGCCTTTTTGGAGTCCTTGGATGGTGTTCTGGAAGAGGTGCCATCTGGAGACTCTCTTGTTCTGCTGGGTGACTTCAATGCCCATGTGGGCAATGACGGAGTTATCTGGAAGGAGGTGACTGGGAGGAACGGTGATCTGAACCCCAATGGTGTTCTGTTACTGGACTTCTGTGCTAAACACGGGTTGTCCATAACAAACACCATGTTTGAGCATCTGGGTGTCTTGTTCACGAGTGATGGTAGGATGGAGCGGGAGTTGGATCAACGAATTGGGACCTCATCCTCAGTAATGAGGATGTTGCTTCGGTCAGTTGTGGTGAAGAAAGAGCTGAGTCTAAAGGCAAAGCTCTGGATTTACTGGTCTGTCTTTGTTCCAACCCTCACCTGTGGTCATGAGACGTGGATCAAGACCCAAAGAACCAGATCTTGGATACAAGTGGCTGAAATGAGCTTCATTCGTAGGGTGGTCCTTAAAGATGGGGGAGGAGCTCCATCATCCAAGGGGAGCTCGAAAGGAGTCAGTTAAGGTGGTTCATCTGATTAGGATGCCTTCTGGACACCTCCCTTTAGAGGTGTTTCGGGCACGTCCCACTATGAGGAGACCCCGGCGTAGACCCAGGACTCTGGAGGGATTATGCATCCTCTCTGGTCTGGGAACGCCTCGGGGTCCCCCAGGATGAGCTGGAAAGTGTCGCTGGGGAGAGGGAGGTCTGGGTTTCTCTCCTGAACCTGTTGCCTTCACAACCCGACTACAGATAAGTGGAAGATGGAGATAGATGCCGAAAAATGTAAGGAAGAAAAAGTTGTTTTAATAGTGTGAATGCTGTGAAGCATTTATACTGATAAGAGCTTATTTTAGGATTAAAGAATCCAAAGCGTCTGCAGGAACACTGTGATTTCTGATGGAGAACAGAATAATACAACTTCCTGTTTCAGCTCCTCCTCCATGAGGTCATCAGGTTTCATGTATTTGATCAGATCTGTGAGCCATCACATCGAACAGAGGAGGAAGTCTCAGAAACAGGCAGCTGTTGTGTTTCCAATAAAATGTTTATAATAAATGTGTTTTGTCAACATATAAAGAGTAAATACCTGATCAACAGATCTGAATCAACTCAAACAGAGGATGAGAAGGATTTTTGAGCAGCAGCAACAAACAGATTCTGAGTAAGAAGTTTTGATACGAGCTGTGAAGCTTTTCATTCTTCAGAAACCATCAGAGGTTTCCTCAAAGATTCTCTTTAAACTGAATTAAATCAGGATTCAGACCAACGAGCTGAGCTCAATCTGACCACACAAGCCTCGGTTTGATGGACGGTCACATGGATTCTAAGACAACAGGAACAGAACTACACAGACCTATGATGGTGTACTTCTTGCAGAACCTCCTGAACGTGTTCTTCTCCACGTAGGTGAGTCCAGGAGGATAGGTGCGGCGACTCAGGTACAGCTCCACAGCGTCGTACTTGGCAAAGAAGGCCTGCTCTCACACAGATGGTTGGAAAAAAGAAGGTTTTCACCAGATCCCCTCTGAGAACAGACCCCCTGAGAAAAGACCCTCTGAGAACAGACCCTCTGAGAACAGACCCCCTAAGAACAGACCCCCTGAGAATAGACCCCTCTGAGAACAGACCCTCTGAGAACAGACCCCCTGAGAAAAGACCCTCTGAGAACAGACCCTCTGAGAACAGACCCTCTGAGAACAGACCCACTGAGAACAGACCCCCTGAGAACAGACCCACTGAGAAC